GAACTCATCAGTCGGAAGCTCAATGCGCTTTGTTCGCTGTACCGTGAGGGACGCATGTTCGATATGGTAATCGAGCCCTTCTAGTTTTGCAACAAGGAACTCACCTTTCCATGCGAACCCGGGCTGAATGTGGTACCCGAGAAACACGCCTTCGTTTGACGTTGGCGAAGTCTTGCCTGCCTGATTGTCAGCTCGTGCAGGGTTGTTCCAGAACAGTACCTTTGCTCCAAAAGGTATCTCAGCTTCATCAAAGGTCTTGTTAAACCTGAGGTACCATGGCGAATCGTTTCCATTCAACTGTGGCAGGATGTTGGTCGCAACTGCATTGTGCTGGATAGCAAATGGCCACATCGACAGTGGGAACCCTGACTGAACAAGGTTCGCACGTGCTCCCTCCAACAGATGTCTGATTTCCCTTTCCACGAAAGATTTGGAAGAATCAACATATTCAATGGAGGTCTGATGACGGTACCCCAACTGCTCTATTGCGGCTTTCAATTCCCGGGAGTTGTCGGTGTAGAGAACTTCAACCTCATCCCTACCGGAAATGAAATGCTGGATCCCTGCAACGGATTGCTCCGTGCTTTTGCTGGTCGATGGGTAAACGTACCTGAACTGCGTATGCACGTCCTTGATCACAAGAGCACACCATTCACCTTTGATACCCTGCTCAATGTTGGCCTTGAGAATCACATGATCAGCAATGATGTGATCTCCAAACGCTTTCGTCTCGAGCCTTCCCTGCCCGCCCTTCGATCTTGCATATGGGGCAAGCATCTTGGCACGTTGGCAAATGCGGCAAAAGGGATTCTTCGGATAGTGTGCAAACAAGTGCTCTTTGGTACTCGCTTCGGCAACCAGATCTTGCTCTTTGCGGGATCTAACAAACCGCTCAACTTCGTCGTCGGGATCATCACCTTCGTCGATGCCTTCGTCATGAACCAGTGCAGGCGCTGGCTTGGATGCTGCTACTGCACTCAACGATGGCTCAGCTTCACAGCTGGAATCCATGTATGGCACATGACCATCAACCTTGAGCTGGATCAGAGCACCATCAGGGCGAACCATAGTCGGCGCCCTCCCGGATTCCCAATGGAAGGAATATCCTTGATCCAGACACTTCACACCCAGCGACAGCACTGCGGGAGAACTCTCGAGGATGTAAGGCTGAGCAGGCTCACACAATGCATCGACATTGATGTCGGCGATTTCGGAAGCAGTAATGTTTCCGTTTGCAGTCACAAGGCGAATAGGCTGAGGTGCCTGTTTCCGAATTGCCTTGGACGCATTCCTCAGTGCAGCTTTGCTGATGAGGTCCTGCTCACTACCGGAATCAATAAGCCACACGTCCTTTCCCTTTGGTGCAGGGGTGGCTGCCCTTGGCGCTTCGACATCCTTGCGAACATCGTGAGGCGGCATGGCAATTCTCAGGCACTCATCACACGATAGGCTTGAGATGGAATCGGATTCCACATCGCACATGAAACCACAAGCGGGCTGGGCTCCATTCTCAATGGCTTTGATTACGGCACTCAACTGGTTCGCGGCCTTGCGCGCTGCCTTGTTAGTCCCTTTGGTCGGCCTAGGGCAGTCCTTAGCATTTGGAAACATCCTGTTATACTGCCGTTCCTCGTACTCAAGCTTGAAACCGTCGCCTTCGGCGGGGGTCTCATGCACATGAGCATTGGTGTCAAACGACACCCCAATGGGATTGATCGGCTTGGCAAACATGGCGTACCTATGTGCATACTGCGGCGGCCTTGGCCTTGGGCTTAGGCTTAGGCGAATTTGCACGCTTCTTGGCCGCAGGATTTGCGTTGGCCTCGTTGCTCGATGCCGCAGCGGCAGATTTGCCGCCCGTGGAGGCATGGCTAAACTTGCATTTGTCACCTCTAGTGCACTTCCCTTGGGCAAAGAAAGAACACGGTGCTTTCTCTCCTTTACCGCCTTTGGGGGAACTTGGCCTGCCGCGGGTCGCGGAGCGTCCTCGCGGCTCCTTGCGGTGCGCGTAAGGGCAGTTTGCCCCCCTCGTGCACGAGCCCTTCTGGAAGTCAAAGCAGTACTTTTCCTCGGTGTCCTTCGGCTTAGGTGCGCTCTTTTTCTTGGGGTCCCTCTTTTCAGGGGCGGCAGCACCAGCCTTGGGCGTTGGGGCTTTACTGGCATTGACCTTGGACACGCGCTCTCGGTTCTCGCGGAGCCTATCCCTCTCGATTAGATCCCTCATGCAACGCATTAGGAAATCGTACGATTTGTTGGGATCATCATCACGGCAACGATCATATGTGTCAATGTCGTACCGCAACAGATGGCAGCTTCTCACTTGGCGAAGCAAGATGTCTTTCAACACCTTTTCTTCCGGCGGCCTTTTCATGCCGGCGATCACGGAATCCCAAGCGTTTAGGAAACGTTTGAGATCAATGATTCCTTCGCCGTGTCGCGAGACACGCAACAGGTCCTCCAAGGAGTAGAGGTTTCCGGCTTCTTCACTGGTCTTGAAATATTGGTCAAACATAAACAAGACCTGCCTTCCTCTCATGGCCTTTCCCTCCTTGGCACATTCTTCCTTTGCTGTTAGGATTCGCTGAGCCAGATCGCCCTTCGCTGAACGCGTGAGCGCTGCGAGAATCTTCGTGTCTAGGGTCACGAATTTTCCCGGTTCGCCGAGCTCCTCCAACAGCTTCTTCTTGTCCTCGCGATCGGACCAGACTTCCATGATCCAAGGCCAAGCCTCGTCTGGACGGTCAGATGCAGCGCGGACGTCCTCACGAACCGATGTCTTCCATTCACGGTACGTTTCAGGAGTTGGCATCTCCTTGAATCGCAACGTCTCGCTTTCGCGGGTTCTGGGCTTTTCATCGTTCGTGTGGCCTTTTACTAATTTCATCAACATCTTGGCGAATGCTTCATTGCCGAGGTTAGGCCCGAGGCCGTCACCTTCGTCTTCATCACCATCGCCATCGCCACCATCATCAGGTGGCGGACCGCCGGGAGGCTTACCACCCTGCTTGCGGTCATTTGACATTGGCCCCTGAGAGAATTGCAGGGGCGGGACCGGTGCACTTGTTTTCACCGGGGATCGGCTACTACCTGATGGCTTTTCAGCTGGTCCTTGCGGATCGCGAGCATCTGCGGGCAGTGCATCGCATTCGGCAGTTGGAATCACGCTAGGGGTATATTCATCCCCGTAACCATCATAGTTAACAAGCGACCTCAACTTTTCCTTTGCATATTGAAACGGATGGGACAACGGGTCCAACATTGACCTTTGGGACCGAGCTGACTTCATGTCGTCGGTCATCAACTCTGGTGAATCCTCTCGGGTATCACCTACCCCTTTGGGCTTCGATCCATCCTCGCGGAGGTCGTGTTGCTTCTGATACTTCTTCAGCTCATCGAGCTCGTCCTGCAGAAGCCCGTTTTGGTGGGCCATCATGTCAATCGTCCTGGCGTTTTTCGCTTCAACACGGGCCGTGTCATCGGCGTGCTTAGCAGCTTGCTCATGGAGGAGCTGCTGGGCTTCCGCCAGGGTGGATTCGATGGCTTGCCTAAACTCAGTTGTTTTGTGTCTCATTTCCGCTTCATGCAATGCTTGGGCATTTTCCTCACACACGTGGCTTATCCTAGCTTCAGCGAAGTTCACTTCTTGCATGAACTCATCGCTCACTCGCTGTTCGTATTCACGAATTCTATGCGACTGGGATTGCACACATTCAGCGTAGTGTGCATGCAGCTGATTCTGTGCGACACGGAGCTCCTCACGGTTTTCCGCTTGCAAATGCGTGACAGCTGCTTGATGCAGTGCTTCGGCTTCAGACCTAATGGCTGCATCATTCCCAAAAGCAAAGATTGCGGTATTGTACAGTTGAAGGGAATTCATCAGGGTGCGGTTATACTGCGCATTAGCGCTTGATGCGAACATTCGCACACCGCCGCCGGTGGCGTTGTCGGAGCTAGCTCCGGCAGCATCCACAGGCATGTTAGATCCATCAACTGGCACAAGGGAACCGTCCATTGCTTGGAGCTAGGGGCCTACGGCTGATAACCTATAGATTCAAGGGTTACCGGTTTGGGGCCCAAAAGGAAACAACAAACCGTCCAAGTGCGCTGCTCGCACATTTTCACGCTTGAACAGCCACACTGCGGATGCAATGGATGTAAAACCCCATATTGACCGATCAAATTCTTCACAAACTCACTGGATCTTGCCCCAGGTCGATATATAAATCCAACCCACTTGCAGGGCTGCCTAGAGAATGTAAAAACCAACTGCAGTAAAAGGGGATCCTGTAAATCAGCTGATAAAGGAGTTGGCAGCTGATTGGCAATTGAACCGTAAATCCAGATGTTCACCCCTGCAAACCCCGACTGAGCCAAATCCGCTCCAAACAGAAGTTCAATGTGTTGTCCGGCCGGCTTGGTATTGAAACAAGAGGTTGAAGAGTTCCAGCTGTACATGGTCCATTCTATTCAGGGATTCTCTTCAAATTAACCAATCCTGTAAAGCTCAACAAAAGAACATGTATCAGCTTCCCCTGTGGTGGTTTTGTGGTTGGAGGTTCACAATTCTCAAACCATCAATCCAAAACCGCCAACTGAGTATTTACCCTCACTCCCACATGGCACCTGACTCGGCACCCCCCAAGAGGAAAACCATCTTCCAGGCACCCTTTCGCAGGGGTATCCCATGTTCGGCATGAAACTCTGCACAGGGAGCCATCCCGAAACCCAGCAGGAAAATGGTTGGTAGGTGGAATTTCTCGGAATGGCACATGTGCAAGTGTTTGTCCCTTGGTTTAGGGGAACCATCCACCCTCGTGTTGTTTGTTTCTTTTTTAAGCGCGTCTCCAACTCATGTTGCTACCCCTCCCATTTTTTGCGTTTACTTTCGGCCCCATATTTCCCCAGCCGCCGGTTTTCGAGAAACAGAAAAATCGACCCGAGCTCGCGTGCCAATCTCTCGTCCGCTTGCGCGAACGAATCGAAGGGTTTGGAGTCCGGTCCTTATGTAGCCCGTGCCGTTCCGCCAGGTGATCGATCCCCAGCGCCTTGAGGGCTTCTATCACCTTGTCGTCACCCACCTGCGGTGAGACCGGGGATGCATGGACTTGGCGGTGTTGACTACTTTCATGAGCTTTTTGCCCCCGAAACATAACAACAAAACGAGTCCCTTGAAAACCAAAACGGAGAAAAAAAAAAAAACATTCCAAAGCAAATGGACTCACTTCCTGAGTGGATGGCCCCCCAAAGAAGTCCAAACTTTTTGGGTGCCACTAAAATGGTCTTCTCAAAAAATATGAAGTCCAGAAACTCAGGAAGTGAGTGGAAGCATAGGAGCAAGCATGGTCTTCCCCCCCCCCCCAAAAAAAAAGGACAAAAAAGAATGCGAGCCTTATGGCCGTGTCTTTCTTTGGAGTTGGTTCCCTCTTGTGTGTGGTTTTCAATGGTGTTATTCTTGTGTCTAGGGGGCGCATCCGCAAATGGAAGATCAGCAATTCGCCCAACGCATATGTTCACCATCCAACAGTCGCAACCTCGGGATGGCACTTTGGCCAAAATAAGCGTGTGTCCTTTGTTAGGGACCAACATGGTGGTTTTCATGTTGATTTATTTCGAGCAGTGATAGATTCCCTTTAAAACCAATAAGGGAACATAACAAATATTATTTTCGGCAAATGGCAGAAATGCGGCTTCGGGCATCAAACAAACACGGCTCCATGCATCTTCCGGCCATGGTCTGCCTATTGACATAGAGGCCCTCCCAAAAATTGCGCAATCATTTGCTTTGAATGGACCCTGATCTCCCAAAACCTACCCTCCCGCCAACTAACATACAAGTGCATAGACCCCTGTAGAAAGATAACTTTCCTCTTGGAAAGGGGCTTGTTGCACTTCCATGTTAGTTGGTTCCGGCAAAGTGCAAGCGGCAAACCCTGGGCGCTAAGTAACATGGTCTGGAAACAAAATACTCATCCCCTTTTGGTTGCTCTTGAGGTTTACTAAAAACTGGTGGGCGTGTCTGAAACAATTGGAGCCCACATACTCAGTTGCTCATTTCGGACCAGACATGGAAAGTTATCATTATTTGGAAATTTGGAACCTTGACAAAACATGGTTGCCAAATCAGGGCTTTGTCACTGTCCAAAAAGCTGTGGTTGGCACGCGGCTTCTGGGTGGCTTGTCTCTCACTTCCCAAGTGGGTTGGCTGAAAACAAGTCTGAACTGCTATTTACGACTAACTAGGTCCTCCAGTAGAGAGGTTAGAATAAGGGTACCGTCTTTTAGTAGGGGAACCCTCCCCAAAAAAAGGGGAGAGAAGGGCACTACTGGGGGACCTAGCTAAAATTGGCCAAACCCAAAATGTGACTAAAGTCTTGGTTGCTGCTGATCCCTCTGCAAAAAGTTTAACTTGCGGGTTTAGTGGAAAACCCCACTTGATTTCAACCAAAAAGTTCAAGTCCAAAGATCCGCTACCCAATAGCAGTCAAGCCAAAGTCCATGATCTCAGGGTAAGAGTCTCTTGGCTTCGAGCTCGAGCGCGCGCCTCAGAGGTCGATTCAGCACCGGGGTAGAGTATGTTGTCGCGCAGCGAGCCCAGGCAGAGGTAAGGCGTCTGCGGAATAAAGAGGCACCTGACAGGTGCTATGGGATCCATAGCAAAATTCTTCTAGATAGCCAAGTTGAACTTCGCTTTTTTCAGCCACTGTTGCTGGTTTTTGGGGGTGAAGTGCATGGAAAAAAAACAAAACTGCAACTGGCGATCCAGGCAATTGCTTTTTCTGTTTGAGTGTCGCTTGATGTCGCTTGGCCATTTCGGATCTGAAAATTGACCGGTTGTAGAACCGGTTGGGTTCTTGACTGAGCCTTTTGGACCAAAACAGCAAAACCAAAAGGTCAGAACGTCGAGCTAAGTACCCCGAGGGCAATGTTAACTTCGGGTTCATCCGCATGTTACCTTACATCTGCTTCAGCCCCCTGAAAAACAATCATACGTGCACCTGTGAAATCGGTTCCCTTCAAACCCATTTCATTCAGCAAACATAAAAATAATGATGAGGCCGGCTCCCCTTTTAAGCTGAAATGGTTGATTTTTCGGGCTCCCGCTGGTAGGTTCATCCGGATTCCAAGGTCAACATTGGCCGTTGTTTGTGGTGGGCAAAAACTGGAATCCGAAATAGTGGCTTTCTGGAGACGACCAGGAAGCAACATGGGGTGATCTCTGGTAATACGAGTCCGTGTTTGCAGGGTCTTGGTTGCTGTAACGACCCTCTGTAAAACGTATTTCACTTTGTGCAACTCGGAAAATCCCGCCTGTTTCGACCAACCAGATTTTGTCCAAAGACCCACCATGACCCAACCAAATAGGTATATCCAGGGGTTTTGGAGACTCGTTCAACACCGAGCACGAGATTCGCAATGGAGCTCCCTGTGAATCTGCTTCTGAAGCCATGGTACCCGCACCCCGCACCCCGCACCCCGAGACCTTAAAGCCAACGGTAAAAAAGGGGCCTGGGCGGGGCCTCCAGGCCTTACCAACTTACCAAGTAGCAGCCATGTTCTAAGCCTCAAATTGCCTTTTCGTCCCCTGGAAAGCATAAACATATTTTTGCCCAGTAGTGGTAGATGCCCTTTAAAACCAAAGGGGGGAAATATGTTTAGCAAATGGAACTAAGTAGCTCATACGCTCTGGAGTTCTGAAACAAACCCCTTCTCGCACTTAAAGCGGGGTTCACATCCCCTTGAATTTGTCAATAGGGACTGGGCTGCCCTCCGATCCCCTGCTAAAATACAAGTCTAACTTTTGTGGGTTAAATGGAAACCCCCACTAAACCCACGAAAAAGCTAAAAAGCCAAGAGGATGGCTGGGAGCCACCAAGGGGAGGGAATGCCCTTTGCGTCACTGAACTCCGCCCTTGCCCTTTGTAGCAGGCCCCATGTCAATGAAAAAGCAATCCACAAACTACTCAGAAGCAACTGGTGTGCTCGCACAACTCCCATATCCCATGCACACAAGCCCCCTTGGGCACGCAACAACTCGGGGTGGGCGATTTTACGCCCTCACCTTGTCTCGTTCTCTTCTCACTTCCCGAGTGGATGGCCCAACAGCAGTCACCAAACTCTTCATTTATCACTAACCCTTCGGCTCATGACCCCTCCAATGCAGGCCCGGGCCCTCCAATGAAGAGCCTGGACCCCTCAGGGTCCCTTGAAAACAACCCATTTTGAGGGCCCCAAAAGCATCGGGAGCCTTAGGGAAAATGGTCTTCCACTCCCAAACAAGTGACGATCGAGTGAGGTTTTGGGGTTCCGAATCCCGTGAGAGACACGCCCGCCCGCGGGGTTTTGTCCGGCACCCCATGGCCTGTCCAGCTTCGTTCGTTCGATCACCCCAGAGCCCCGCGTCCACAGCCCGCCAATGGCACGCAGCAAAGAGCCTCACAAAAATGCAGCGTCTCCATTCCTTTGGGGGAACCCAAGAGCTGTTCTTCCATTTGCTTTTTGTTCCCCCCCTGAAAATTTCCATATATGTCTATTAGTGATAGATTGCCCCCCCTAACAAAAATCCAAGTATGTCCAATAGTGATAGATTTTGTCCGATAGTGATAGATTCCATTTGCCTTCATACGCCCCCTGAGAACATGTCTCCTGTGTTGAAATCGATCTCCTTTAAAACCAAGAGGGAAAAATCAAACATATTCATTTCAGCAAACGGACGCGTTTAGTCTTTTTTGTTGGAATCTTGCCTGGGATTGGATGGACCTGGATCCTCAAACTACCCTTCAAAAAGAGAACTCACCCCATGATGTTGGGGCATTCACTCATGTTTAAGGGAGTTTTCAGGGTTGTTTGACTGTGTTGGGCTGGAACAAGTGCTTGGTATCGTGGTACCTCCAGGCTTTACCTGGTGCTTTCCCTACCCACTACACTGGCAGCTGGAAGCACGAGGCAGGGGGTGTCTGTATAGGGTTATTTGAAACCAACATCTGTAATTTAGACTAGAGACAAATGTGTCTCGCCAAATCGATCCAACTTCATCTTGAACCACATCCAACGCGGCAAACCAAAAGTCCCGGCTGCGAAGTCGAGTTGAAGCAATCCCTGAAACCACACTCGCAAGGCAAAGCTATCCGACCTCCGAGCTCTTCCAGTTGCCATTATAGATGGCTGCGGGACCGTGTAGCAAAGCCTGGACGTAAAAGTTTTGGCTACCCGCCAGTGACAACTGGAAGCAAGGCCTGATTTGCTCTGGGGTGTGCCCTGAAGGTTTGTCCTTCGAGGGTCTGGTAGAGCACATACCGACAAACAAAACCCACATTCAGGATCCGTGTTTACGCCAGCACATCCCTTTGAAGGGACCTACACTTTATGCACTTGACCATCCATCGCGTACACTCAAGATCCATCTGGGCTGTCCAAACTGATCCCCTGCTAAAAGTTTAGCTGTTGGTGGGTCTATTTTAGTCGGGGAAACCTCCCCCCAAAAAGGGTAAAAGGGCACCTAGACACCATTCAAAGGCACTACCAGGTATGGGTTTTGGAATTCACGGAGGTATACCGTGGATATAATGGGTACTGCCTCATAAGAATCCAAAGCTCCAAGATCCATACACCTAACAAACCCTGATTTTGATTCTTGTGGATTTCGATTTTTACTTTTTCTCTGGTGTCCTCGTTGGATTTTGCTTGGAAACCAGGAGCCGAGGAGCTCTTTCCAGAGCCGCTGGTGCCCTCTATGAGCATCGACTGGCCCTCCAGCAGTGACAGCGAGAGGTTCTGGATCAGAGGCTCCTGTCCAACCGAACGCCTGGGATCCTTCCATTGGATTGCTCAAGACACACCAAACCTTGGTTGACGTTGGAATTCGAAGCAAACATTGTTTCTTTAACAAAAACAGCTCAGTGGTTGGATTTCAACCACAAAACCACGATAAACAAAAATGTAACAACAACCATGAAACTGGAATCCTTCCATTTGATTGCTCAACCCCCCTGGACAAAATGAGGGCATATTCCCAGTGATAGATTCCCATCGATAACCAAGAAGGGAAACTGACACATATTCTTAAGCAAGCTTGCTGGTTCGATAGGCATAGAATGAGAAATAGAATGACCCCCCCAAACCCATTCAACCGGTGGTGTCCTTTTAAGGGCCCAACACCCGGTCTCGATCGTTCCCCACTTCAAACCAGCGCGCCGGGCTCTCAAACCCGCAAAAGGGGTCCGTTTAAAACCACCCAACCAGTTTACCCAAGGTCGAGATTCCCTTAAACTCACTTCCTGAGTGTATATTTACCACTAAAATTGTCCTCCCACAAAGTATCAAGTCCAAGAACTCAGGAAGTGACAAAATGGCAGTGCGATGCTTGATCAATCCAATGTGGGCAATATGGCCGGACCTTGCGACACTTGGAACTCACGATGGCTGGGCATGCCCGTCTTGTTGTGCCATGACCAATGGTCCTTATCAGTTTGGGTGTATCTGTCCGTCCGTCCGTCCGTCTGTCCGTTTGTCTGCTTGTCTGTCTGTCTGTCTGTTTGTCTGCCTGCCTGTCTGTCTGCCCGTCTGTCTGCGTGCCTGTGTACGCGCTGTTTGCAGGGTCCCACTGAAGCCCACAGGAACCCCAACCACCATAGGGGTCCCCTTTGACACACACAGTGGCTGTCCTTAAAGCCAACTGGGTAGCAACAGCTCCAAAAAGACAGGGCTGATGGAAGCGGAAACCTCGTTTCTTGAGTCCCATGGCATGCCTGCATCGGAGCCCAGACTTCTCCCGAAGCTGCGGGGGCGCGTCTTAGAATACGAGGGACGGCCCCAAAAAGATGTGGGGTCCACTGTGCTTTTACTTTGAAACTACCTCGCAAGACACACTGAAAATGGTAATCCGGCTGTTTAAGGGTGGTCTTGAAATGTCTTGAGCTGCCACGTCGCCTATGAACACAACCCCATATAGGCAAACCCGGGTCTAGTAGACATGCAACGGGTGAATGTTTACACAGACCATTTCCTTCATTATGCCCCCTTGCACTGGCTCCTTGCCACAGCTGCGAACCAATGTTCAAGGCAAGTACATCATCGATGTACTTGCTAAATAGAGAGTATGCACGCATACAAATAACAAGGCCTGAGTAGACATATTAAAATTAGCATCTACACATTGACATGTGTATGTAGAGTTCGTTGTCAAGTGATACATGTATATTTGTTTGCTTAATCCACAACATATGTGTATATATATATATATGAATAACTGCTTGCATAAATAAACGCATATGCTTGTAAACAACTATGCATCTATACAGAAAAACAACGGTTCTAGGGGTAACTTCCCCATTCTTTCCAGGGATCCTTCTTTCTAGAAAACCACCCAAAAACCTGGGAAATTGCTGGTTTTTGAAAAGAACGATGGCTGAAAATAATGGATAAGGAATCAACCCCTAGGAAAGTATACATCTCCATCCCTCGCCCCCTCGCCCAGTCAACGGCTCTGCGCTTCTTTTCGCCAGCCGCGCTCAGAGGCTCGCGAAGCGGCAGATCACACCTCGCTCTTCCAGGCGCCGCACGAAGCGCGTCTGGGAGCTCGTGTCGCTCCAGCCCACCTGATCCGATCGGGGAAGGTGAAACCCCCTGTGCTGCGGTGGGTTGGATGGACCAATATCGGTTGAAACCACTGCTGTTCTAAGGGGTTTGGATGGACCAAAGAAAAGGTTGAAACAAAAGGATGCTTGAACATCTTCCAGCTTGGTGCAGCTTCTTGAAGAATCCCGGAATGCCACCGTTTGCGGGGTTCCCTAGCTTGACACAAACCCAAATTGGAAGGGGATAGAACTGGAAACAGATGAACAGCATCCGGCCTTTCTGCTTTTTGGGGGGGTACCTTCCCCATGTTGGCTTCAAAAAGAGGGTTCAAATCCCCCGTTCCCACCAATCCAGACCACCAACCAAGGGTAGCCTGACTTGATTACGTAGTTGACAACAAATCATTGGACAAAACAAACAAACACAATCGCAGGACATGTCAATTACGGCAGCCACTACAGTACCTATCGAGTGGATTGGCCCAAAAAAGGAACAACACTTCGTTTTATTCCCAAACCCAAGAAGTAATGTCCTACGTAGGATGTATAAATGAACCTGTAACAAAAACAAATGGGGGGCCCAAAATAATTAATACATGCACCTACAATAAAGACAAGCACCCGCCACCCCTGCCCATGTTTTTCCAGAAAAAAAAACAAAAAAAGAAAAAGGAGAGGAAGGAGAGGAAGGAGAGGAGAGATAGCCAGGCAAGTTCAAAAACAATCCCAGGTGATGCTGGTGAAGCTTGCTGCTTTCTTCCCAAATCCAAACTGCAGACCTTCCCCAAATTCAAGTTTCCTTACATGCCTCTTGTTTAAAAACGGCCCACCATCAAACCCACAAAGGGGGTAGTACTTCAGCCCCCCAAATTTTAAGCCCAAGACTTTATTCCAGGGGCCCCTATAATAAAGTCTTGATGCATTGGCCCCCCTGAAAAATGCAACTCCCTAATTGCAGTTACCTCTTAGCTAACCAACTGGCCAATTTCAAAAACAATCCCAGGTGATGCTGGTGAAGCTTGCTGCTTTCTTCCCAAAATCCAAACTGCAGACCTTGCCCAAACTCAAGTTTCCTTACATGTCTCTTGTTTAAAGACTGCCCACCGTCAAACCCACAAAGGGGGTAGTACTTCAGCCCCCCAAATTTTAAGCCCGAGACTTTATTCCAGGGGCCCCTACAATAAAGTCTTGATACATTGGCCCCCCTGAAAAATGCAACTCCCTAATTGCAGTCACCTCTTAGCTAACCAACTGACCAAATTCAAAAACAATCCAAGGTGATGCTGGTGAAGCTTGCTTCTTTATTCCCAAAATCCAAGCTGCAGACCTTGCCCAAACTCAAGTTTCCTTACATGTCTCCTGTTTAAAGACTGCCCCACCGTCAAACCCACAAAGGGGGTAGTACTTCAGCCCCCCAAATTTTAAGCCCGAGACTTTATTCCAGGGGCCCCTACAATAAAGTCTTGATACATTGGCCTGAAAAATGCAACTCCCTAATTGCAGTTACCTCTTAGCTAACCAGCTAGCCAATTTCAAAAACAATCCCAGGTGATGCTGGTGAAGCTTGCTGCTTTCTTCCCAAAATCCAAACTGCAGACCTTGCCCAAACTCAAGTTTCCTTACATGTCTCTTGTTTAAAAACTGCCCGCCGTCAAACCCACAAAGGGGGTAGTACTTCAGCAATACTAAATCAAATGGAAGCTCCAGCAATACTAAATCAAATGGAAACTCAGCTCCAAATCTCAAAAGGAAGCTCCAGCAATACTAAATCAAATGGAAACTCAAGTCTGCCAATACTAAATCAAATGGAAACTCACTTGAACTGGATCTCAACATACTATTCAAGGTGCCCCCATCGGGGGGGGGGGGGGGGGGGACCCCCGTTTACTAATCCTAGGTGGACATTACCGAAAGTCCAGCAACTCAGGGCGTAGGATAGTGGCCAGCAGTTGCGCAGCCCTCAATCCGTGGCTTGGTGCAACCTCCGTCGCCTCTTGCCACACCGAAAAAAACCCTCGGAAATGGTACGATTCAGGGCGGATTTAGGGCGAGAGGTCGGTTTAACCGTTTTTGGAGTGGGGTGATCTTTTCGGGAAATCTCATGGCAACGTCTGACATCCATGTTGGGAGGTCCGAAGCCTGGAATGTTGGCACACCCTGGCAAGCATGAAAGTTTCACTAGGTCCTCCAGAGAGGTTAGAAGAAGTTGGTACCCACTTTTTCCCTGTCTATTTTAGTGGGGTTCGGAACCGAACCTCCCAACCAAAAAGGGCACTACTAAAGGACCCAATGAAGGGGAGCAAAAGGAAAATCAACTTTCTGGTGCTCAGGGAATTGTGGAAATATGAACCCAGTGATTTTTCTGGAAGGAACCCAGGGATGGTTTTTGTACTCCAACCAGGATCAGTAACGCATACCCGTGTTTGTATTTGTTTTTCTTGTGTTTGGAGGGGGGGTTAGAATAAGGGTACCGTTCTGTTTTTTTGTTCGTCGTCTATTTTAGTAGGGGTACCCTCCCAACCAAAAAAAGTAAAAGGGTAAAAGGGCACCTAGCTGAGGGACCTAATGTTGACCCAGGATTAATAAACCCGTCCCATTCTTACGGGGGTGTTCCCTCCGAAAGTGGTCTGAATCCCCACTAATTAAAAGGGGACACCGCCCTATTAATCAACCAGGGGTGCTGCTTCCTCCGGGGTCAACATTAGAAGTGACTCGCTTCTTCCTGCGCCACTTGCGCCGACTCGCCCAAGGCCCCAAGGCCCCGGCGGTGGGCAGCTGCACGCTCCGCAGGAAGTCCATGTGCTGCAAGGCGTGGCCCAGGTGCCGGTCGATGTCTGCCCCGGCCACGTGGAACTCCACTTGCCTGCGCCCGAGAAAAAGACCCGCGGGGCAGCTTCAGGGAGGGGTGGGAGGACGGGGGTTGGTAGGTGGGTGGGAGGGGAGGGGAGTGGGAGGGGGGGAAGGGGTGGGAGGGGTGGGAGGGGTGGGAGGGGTGGGAGGGGTGGGAGGGGAGGGGTGGGAGGGGTGGGAGGGGTGGGAGGGGTGGGAGGGGTGGGAGGGGTGGGAGGGGGGCGGAGGGCGGGGTGGTTAACTAGGTCCTCCAGATTTGAGAGGTTAGAACAAGTTGGTACCCTTTTGTTTTATGTGTCTCTTTTAGTAGGAACCCTTTCCCAAAAGGGGGTGAGAAACGGGCACTACGTGGGGCGGGTGGGT